AGCCTATAGACTAGACTATAGACTAGCCTATAGACTAGCCTATAGACTAGACTATAGACTAGACTATAGACTAGACTATAGACTAGACTATAGACCAGACTATAGACTAGACTATAGACTAGACTATAGACTAGACTATAGACTAGACTATAGACTAGACTATAGACTAGCCTATAGACTAGACTATAGACTAGACTATAGACTAGACTATAGACTAGACTATAGACTAGACTATAGACTAGACTATAGAATAGACTATAGACTAGACTATAGACTAGACTATAGACTAGACTATAGACTAGACTATAGAATAGACTATAGAATAGACTATAGACTAGACTATAGACTAGACTATAGACTAGACTATAGACTAGACTATAGACTAGACTATAGACTAGACTATAGACTAGACTATAGACTAGACTATAGACTAGACTATAGACTAGACTATAGACTAGACTATAGACTAGACTATAGACTAGACTATAGACTAGACTATAGACTAGACTATAGACTAGACTATAGACTAGACTATAGACTAGACTATAGACTAGACTATAGACTAGACTATAGACTAGACTATAGACTAGACTATAGACTAGACTATAGACTAGACTATAGACTAGATTATAGACTAGACTATAGACTAGACTATAGACTAGACTATAGACTAGACTATAGATTAGACTATAGACTAGACTATAGACTAGACTATAGACTAGACTATAGACTAGACTATAGACTAGACTATAGACTAGACTATAGACTAGACTATAGACTAGACTATAGACTAGACTATAGACTAGACTATAGACTAGACTATAGACTAGACTATACACTAGACTATAGACTAGACTATAGACTAGTCTATAGACTAGTCTATAGACTAGACTATAGACTAGACTATAGACTAGACTATAGACTAGACTATAGACTAGACTATAGACTAGACTGTAGACTAGACTATAGACTAGACTATAGACTAGACTATGGACTAGACTAGACTAGACTAGACTAGACTATAGACTAGACTATAGACTAGACTATAGACTAGACTATAGACTAGACTATAGACTAGACTATAGACTAGACTATAGACTAGACTATAGACTAGACTATAGACTAGACTATAGACTAGACTATAGACTAGACTATAGACTAGACTATAGACTAGACTATAGACTAGACTATAGACTAGACTATAGACTAGACTATAGACTAGACTATAGACTAGACTATAGACTAGACTATAGACTAGACTATAGACTAGACTATAGACTAGACTATAGACTAGACTATAGACTAGACTATAGACTAGACTATAGACTAGACTATAGACTAGACTATAGACTAGACTATAGACTAGACTATAGACTAGACTATAGACTAGACTATAGACTAGACTATAGACTAGACTATAGACTAGACTATAGACTAGACTATAGACTAGACTATAGACTAGACTATAGACTAGACTATAGACTAGACTATAGAATAGACTAGACTATAGACTTGACTATAGACTAGACTATAGACTAGACTATAGACTAGACTATAGACTAGACTAGAAAGTTAAAGTTTCCTTATATGTAAATTAAGGTCCTCTGGCATCCCTGTTAATAGTGACCGCGTCACTAAATATTACTGTAACGCATGTCCACTTAAATTGTAGAGGTGTGGACTTAAAACTCTCTTGAACAAAAAACAAGCCGTTAAAAACACATGTTTTTAATCCAAAACAGCTCAAGTGATATGATACTTACAAATAAAAATCACTTTGAAATTGTTGGCGATATAATGATGATGATGATGGTTATTATCGTTAAAAGGTTGTGGCTGCTAAAGGAGCAATGATTCTAAAAATAACTAAACCGATCGAAGCATGACAGGATTCAAACTTCTAGAATAAAAACTCATTGGTGTTTTGAAGCATCTTCTTTTCCTCTTATAAGTAAGCGTGTGCGGGCGCTGGGTAGGAAGAAAAAAATTCGTAGAATTCATTCACTACAAGGAGGTTTTTATGTTGTAGTAGGTATTCTTTCTTTAAAAGGAATTTGTTTTACGACGAACACAGGCAATCTGAGACATTTTTTTTTGCTGTGGTAGTTCCCAGAAAAGAATTTGTCTTTATAAAATGATTCAGAAATTTTAAGGATTTTTTTTGTTGTAGTTGTTAACTATAGTTAATGACATTAACCTTTATGTGTCTGGTTTATAAAATAGACCTAATGGCGCTACTTGTTTCCTTCTCACTTTGAGTGAAAAAGAGAATTAATAAGATCTTGTTGAGGATTTTATGTGGATTTTAAGAGTTAAATTTAAAATGTAAACAAATTCGAGGTGAATTTCGAGGTTTTTAGAAAATATAAACAAAAACAATCTTAAAAAAGCCGGTGCTTTCATTTTGTGAAAAAAATGCAAAAATTTGGAAAAGGTACCAAAAAAACTACTTTTTAAGAATTTACTTTTTTAAAGTCCAGACTATAGAACAGTCTATAGTAAAGACTATAGATCAGTCTTTATTCCAGACTATAGATCAGTCTATAGTCCAGACTATAGTCCAGACTATAGATCAGTCTATAGTCTAGACTCTAGACTATAGATCAGTCTATAGTCAAGACTATAGATCAGTCTATAGTCAATACTATAGATCAGTCTATAGTCAATACTATAGATCAGTCTATAGTCTAGACTATAGATCAGTCTATAGTCAAGACTATCGATCATTTTATAGTCAAGACTATAGATCAGCATATAGTCAAGACTATAGATCAGTCTATAGTCAATACTATAGATCAGTCTATAGTCTAGACTATAGATCAGTCTATAGTCAAGACTATAGATCAGTCTATAGTCAAGACTATAGATCAGTTTATAGTCAAGACTATAGATCAGTCTATAGTCAAGACTATAGATCATTTTATAGTCAAAACTATAGATCAGCCTATAGTCAAGACTATAGATCAGTCTATAGTCAAGACTATAGATCAGTCTATAGTCAAGACTATATATTAGTCTATAGTCAAGACTATAGATTAGTCTATAGTCAAGACTATAGATTAGTCTATAGTCAAGACTATAGATTAGTCTATAGTCAAGACTATAGATTAGTCTATAGTCAAGACTATAGATTAGTCTATAGTCAAGACTATAGATTAGTCTATAGTCAAGACTATAGATTAGTCTGTAGCCAAGATTATACATCAGTCTATAGTCAGGACTATAGATCGGTCTATAGTCAATTCTATAGATCACTCTATAGTCCAGACTATAGATCAGTCTATAGTCCGGGCTATTGATCAGTCTATAGTCCAGACTATTGATCAGTCTATAGTCCAGACTATTGATCAGTCTATAGCCCAGACTATAGATCAGTCTATAGTCCAGACTATAGATCAGTCTGTAGTCAAGACTAGATCAGTCTATAGTCAATATCATAGACTATAGACTATAGATCAGTCTATAGTCAAGACTATAGATCAGTCTATAGTCAAGACTATAGATCAGTTTATAGTCAAGACTATAGATCAGTCTATAGTCAAGACTATAGATCATTTTATAGTCAAAACTATAGATCAGCCTATAGTCAAGACTATAGATCAGTCTATAGTCAAGACTATAGATCAGTCTATAGTCAAGACTATATATTAGTCTATAGTCAAGACTATAGATTAGTCTATAGTCAAGACTATAGATTAGTCTATAGTCAAGACTATAGATTAGTCTATAGTCAAGACTATAGATTAGTCTATAGTCAAGACTATAGATTAGTCTATAGTCAAGACTATAGATTAGTCTATAGTCAAGACTATAGATTAGTCTATAGTCAAGACTATAGATTAGTCTGTAGCCAAGATTATACATCAGTCTATAGTCAGGACTATAGATCGGTCTATAGTCAATTCTATAGATCACTCTATAGTCCAGACTATAGATCAGTCTATAGTCCGGGCTATTGATCAGTCTATAGTCCAGACTATTGATCAGTCTATAGTCCAGACTATTGATCAGTCTATAGCCCAGACTATAGATCAGTCTATAGTCCAGACTATAGATCAGTCTGTAGTCAAGACTAGATCAGTCTATAGTCAATATCATAGATCAGTCTATAGTCAAAACTACAGATCAGTCTATAGTCAAGACTGTATATTAGTTTATAGTGAAGTCTATATATCAGTCTATAGTCCAGACTATAGATCAGACTGTATTTCAGACTATAGATCAGTCTACAGGCCAGACTATAGATCAGTCTAAAGGCAAGACTGTATATTAATTTATAGTCAAGTCTACAGATTACTCTATAGTCTAGACTATAGATCAGTCTTTATTCCAGATTATAGATCAATCTATGGTCCAGACTATTGATCAATCTTTAGTCCAGACTATTGATCAATCTGTAGTTGAGACCATAGATCAGTCTATAGTCAAGACTATAGATCAGTCTATAATCAAGACATAGATCAGTCTATTGTCAAGACTATACTTCAGTCTATAGTCAAGACTGTAGATCTGTCTATAGTCAAGGCTATAGATCAGTCTATAGTCAAGACTATGGGTCAGTCTATAGTTAAGTCTATAGATCAGTCTATTGTCATGACTATAGATCATGCTATAGTTCAAACTATGGTTTAGACTGTAGATCAGCCTATATTCAAGCCTATAGATCAGTCCGTTGTCTGAGTATAGATCAATATGTAGTCTGACTATGGATCAGTCTAATAGTCCAGTCTTTAGATCTGTAATCTGACACTAGATCAGTTTGTATTCCAGGCTATAGATCACTTTTTTTTAAACTTAAAATCCACCGAAAAAAACTCTTTACTACTAGACACTCTTTTAGTATAACGATCAGACTGCACTTATTGGCTGATGCACTAGGAAAACTCAAGAAGAAACTCACCACACTTACTCTCTTAAATGCACTCTCACTTCTTACTCACACCTCCATAACAACAATAACGAACAAAACTTGCAGTTTCGATTAGTTTAACGAGGAGGCGCATAACGAACGGTTGTGGATACGGAAAATAACGAGCGAAACGAATAAATAAAAAGAAAACAACGGTTTTCTGGTTAATTTAAAAAAAAATATATAAAAAAACGGAAGTGCAATAAAAAATTTTGTAAAAAAATAATTATAAAAAAAAAATTATTTTATAAAATAAAAGAAAATTTTAAAAAATATATATTTTATAAAAATAAAGAAAAAAAGAGAAAGTAATAAAAGAAGTTGAAAAGGAGGATGTGCCAAGAATAGTGTTTGTTTTAGAAAAAGAAGAAAGAAAAAAATCCAAATTAAAGCAAAGGAAAAATAATTTAGCTTTTAGTGCCAAAAAAATATTTTGTTTTTAGAACGCAATGCTTTAACGTATAAACGCGCCTATAAAAACGCGCCCTTTAAAAATTTTATTTGAAACGGTTTTATTCTATTTTTTTCGATTTGCAATTCATTTTTTTGAAAAAAGTATTTTTAACACAAAACGACGACAATTTTGCCAAGAAATAAAACACATAAAAAACAACGACTAATGTCTGGTGCTAAATAAAATTTTTATGCAAATGCACGTGTTTTAAAGCAAAAGCCTTTTAAAACCAAATAATTTTGCTCTGTTTTTAGAAATTTTCAAAAAGAAAAGAAAATCTAAAGTAGAATAAAAAGTAAAGAAATAAAATTGTCATGTGCAAATATACAAAAAAAATGTATTAAAACAAGTGCAGTGCCAAGCAATTAAAAGTTAAACGTACGAGAAAAATATGCTCTAAGGCACCGGAAATCGTTATAAGTTTGAAAATTTTTAATAGAAATATTTAAAAAAAAAAATCATTTTCTAAGAATCACCATTTTTAACACAAATGTAAGCATATGCATATATATACTGTATTAAATCATAAAATCAAAAAGGAAGTTTTGATTAAAATTTTAATTTCTTTTTATAAAAAAACAAAAATTTGGTGGGGCTTTTTTATCTTTAATAAAATAAAAGAATAGTTTAAAAAAAACACAACAAATATGATTTATATTAAAATATAATAAAAAGAAAGAGAATTAGAAATATAAGAAAAAATTACATAAATTGATATAAATACAAATTATAAATTGAAAGTGATATGAATTATATCTTGAAAGTAAAAGAAAAGTTTCTAAAAAACTAAAGTCTGAACTAGAACAGAACTAGAACAGAACTAGAACAGAACCAGAACAGAACTAGAACAGAACTAGAACAGAACTAGAACAGAACAGAACTAGAACAGAACTAGAACAGAACTAGAACAGAACTAGAACAGAACTAGAACAGAACTAGAACAGAACTAGAACAGAACTAGAACAGAACTAGAACAGAACTAGAACAGAACTAGAACAGAACTAGAACAGAACTAGAACAGAACTAGAACAGAACTAGAACAGAACTAGAACAGAACTAAAACAGAACTAGAACAGAACTAGAACAGAACTAGAACAGAACTAGAACAGAACTAGAACAGAACTAGAACAGAACTAGAACAGAACTAAAACACTAGAACTACAATAGAACTACAATAGAACTACAATAGAACTACAATAGAACTACAATAGAACTACAACAGAACTACAACAGAACTAATAGATACAGGACAGAACTACAACAGAACTAGCAGACAGAACTAGAACAGAACTAGAACAGAACTAGAACAGAACTAGAACAGAACTAGAACAGAACTAGAACAGAACTAGAACAGAACTAGAACAGAACTAGAACAGAACTAGAACAGAACTAGAACAGAACTAGAACAGAACTAGAACAGAACTAGAACAGAACTAGAACAGAACTAGAACAGAACTAGAACAGAACTAGAACAGAACTAGAACACAACTAGAACACAACTAGAACAGAACTAGAACAGAACTAGAACAGAACTAGAACAGAACTAGAACAGAACTAGAACAGAACTAGAACAGAACTAGAACAGAACTAGAACAGAACTAGAACAGAACTAGAACAGAACTAGAACAGAACTAGAACAGAACTAGAACAGAACTAGAACAGAACTAGAACAGAACTAGAACAGAACTAGAAAAGAACTAGAACAGACCTAGAACAGAACTAGAACAGAACTAGAAATGAACTAGAACAGAACTAGAACAGAACTAGAACAGAACTAGAACAAAACTAGAACAGAACTAGAACAGAACTACAACAGAACTAGAAGAGAACTAGAACAGAACTAGAACAGAACTAGAACAGAACTAGAACAGAACTAGAACAGAACTAGAACAGAACTAGAACAGAACTAGAACAGAACTAGAACAGAACTAGAACAGAACTAGAACAGAACTAGAACAGAACTAGAACAGAACTACAACAGAACTACAACAGAACTAGAAGAGAACTAGAACAGAACTACAACAGAACTACAACAGAACTAGAACAGAACTACAACAGAACTACAACAGAATTACAACAGAACTACAAAAGAACTAGAACAGAACTAGAACAGAACTAGAACAGAACTAGAACAGAACTAGAGCAGAACTAGAACAGAACTAGAACAGAACTAGAACAGAACTAGAACAGAACTAGAACAGAACTACAACAGAACTACAACAGAACTAGAACAGAACTAGAACAAAACAGAACTAGAACAAAACAGAACTAGGACTAGAACAGAACTAGAACAGAACTACAACAGAACTAGAACAGAACTAAAACAGAACTAGAACAGAACTAGAGCAGAACTAGAACAGAACTAGAACAGATCTAGAACAGAACTAGAACAGCACTAGAACAGAACTGGAACAGAACTAGAACAGATCTAGAACAAAACTAGAACAGAACTAGAACAGAACTAGAACAGAACTAGAACAGAACTAGAACAGAACTAGAACAGAACTAGAACAGAACTACAACAGAACTAGAACAGAACTAGAACAGAACTAGAACAGAACTAGAACAGAACTAGAACAGAACTAGAACAGAGCTGGAACAGAACTAGAACAGAACTAGAACAGAACTAGAACAGAACTACAACAGAACTAGAACAGAACTAGAACAGAACTAGAACAGAACTAGAACAGAACTAGAACAGAACTAGAACAGAACTAGAACAGAACTAGAACAGAACTAGAACAGAACTAGAACAGAACTAGAACAGAACTAGAACAGAACTAGAACAGAACTAGAACAGAACTAGAACAGAACTAGAACAGAACTAGAACAGAACTAGAACAGAACTAGAACAGAACTAGAACAGAACTAGAACAGAACTAGAACAGAACTAGAACAGAACTAGAACAGAACTAGAACAGAACTAGAACAGAACTAGAACAGAACTAGAACAGAACTAGAACAGAACTAGAACAGAACTAGAACAGAACTAGAACAGAACTAGAACAGAACTAGAACAGAATTAGAACAGAACTAGAACAGAACTGGACTAGAACTGTTATTAAAATCAGCTAGTTTCAATAATAAAGTTGATCTTATGTTGAGCTGTTTATAGAGTAGGATGAATCGGCAGAACTCGGGTGTAGTGACGACATGCATTCGATCAGATCTCAATATTCCCAGTGATGTCTAGTTAATTGCTTAAAAGCGTTACATACCAAGATGTTCATTTCAAAAGTTAAGAGTTTGCTAAATGTTTTTAAAAGACCCTTAAGGGCTTTTGTTTAATAACTATTAATGATGAAAAGTTGGTATTTTAATTGTTCCCAAAAGTCTGACAAGAGACCTTGAAAGGAATTTGAATTTTAATAAATTCAATATACATACATATAAGTTAAGGATGTTCAATATTATTTAGTATTAAACAACTTCATTTGCTTTCTATTTTCAGGTAAATACTTTACAACAAAACAGCAAACAACATGATTTAATTCTTCCTTTAAAAACCCATAAAAATTCCCCCCAAAACGAGTTCCCCTTAAAACCTCATTTTTGGACAAACAAAAATAAACCACAACGAGAAAATGTTTTCAACGACAACTAAATCAAAACAAAGACCTTTAAGGGACTTTAACAAACCCTTTAACCTACAACTAAGACTGTTAAGAATCTTCTGCAGTCTGCTGCTCATGCTCAACTGGCAGGCAACACCCTCACATACCAAAGATTTAATGCAACATCGTGTTAGACAGCAACAGCAGCAACAACTACATCACTATCGCCAACAAGAAGATTTGTTGCGGCATTTTAATTCAAAATCTGGCGTAAATAATGCCACAACAACATACAATCAAGATTTCGAAACGAGTGTGGTATCATGGACAGGCGCCAAATTAACCAACTCACCGGCCACATTCTTATCAGCACAATCAGCTGCATCGGTACCAACAGAATTGTTACAACGACGAAGACTGGAGCATTTAAAACAAGATGAGCAACAAGAACAGCTCGCTTACTCTGAATCGCAGCTACAGCAACAATTGGGCAATAAGAGACGCAAAACTAAAAGTGGTTTATTGATTGAAAGCAATATTGAAATGGATTATACGGATTTACAACAATCCTCAACTTCCACCAGCTTAGACTATGATACAGAAGCTGAAATGTTAAAGGCAATGGCCACAACAGCAGCTAATAGCTATAACAGTGGCCACAGTTATCCCAAACAAGAACGCAAACGTAATAGACAGCATCACCAATCACAGCGTAAGCGCAATGGTCGTAATGGAGGTGGTGGTGGAGGTGCTGGACAACAGGGTTTTGGTGGTGGCAACAACGGTCAACGTCAAAAATTGCAACGCAACGGTAAGTTTCCGTTTATAGTCATACATACAACAATTTGTAGAAACTAGAAAAATCTAAACCTTTTCCTCTTACTAAGATTTCCAAAGACTTTGGAACATTTTTTTTGCCTTTGTTTTGCTAAAAAATCTGCTTTAATACTTTTTGCTCAAATATGGCTATAGCAATGCTGAAGATCTAAAGCAGAGTTTCCTGCTTAACAAAAAGAAAAAAAAGCAAATAGATTGTCTAGTTAGTCTATGCTCTCAACTCTACAAAAAAGCCTTCATCGATCCGTCCATCCATTTTGAAAGAAACCACCATATACGGTTACACTTACAGATCAGTTTTCAATGTTACCAGTACTTTTATAAAACGACCAGACAAACTGTAGTATTTTTAATCATAATGATCATGATGTTGGCGATCAGCTGCCTTATGATCATTACTCTAACATCGTTTGTTACTCGTTTAGAAGCATCTCTATTGCATGATCAATTGTTTTTCAAAGCAAATATTCCATGTATGTATAACTCGAGATCTATGTACGTATGTACATATATACTCTATATAAAATAAACATAAAAAACAATATATTTCTCTTGTTTATTTTTGCTATATTTAGTTGGGGAAAACATTCAACCATTTTCTTGAGTTTAAAGACCTTTTCCTCGTTATTGCTCCTAATGATCTTGATCATCACCAACTTGTGTAGTGTAGTGAAGTGATGAGAAAGTTTTTTTTATTCTCAGTTTTTTCTTTCATTCAATAATGACAAGAATTTTTCATTTAATTTTTCTTCTACTTAAAAATGTGTCCACATAAATAATAATGATCAGTTTTCTTAGTTTAGTCTTTAAGACCTGCAACAGACTTTTAGTGGTTTGCTGCAAATTGCTAAGATTTTTGTTGGTGACCATGCCACACCAAATTTGGTGTTAGGAATTCCCGTAGCAATTAATGCGTTATAAGTAATTGAATTTTAATGTCTATGATGTAATTCAGCTAGTTCTGAAAAAAAAATTAATTTAAAGATGTGGAGTTGAAATGAATGATTTTGAGTTTTTAAGAGAACAAGCTAGAACTGCAATAGAAGATCTAACTAGAACAGAACTACAGCAAAACTACAACAGAACTAGAACAGAACTAGAACAGAACTAGAACAGAACTAGAACAGAACTAGAACAGAACTAGGACAGAACTAGGACAGAACTAGAACAGAACTAGAACAGAACTAGAACAGAACTAGAACAAAACTAGAACTAGAACAGAACTAGAACGGAACTAGAACAGAACTAGAACAGAACTAGAGCAGAACTAGAAAAGAACTAGAACAGAACTAGAACAGAACTAGAACAGAACTAGAACAGAACTAGAACAGAACTAGAACAGAACTAGAACAGAACTAGAACAGAACTAGAACAGAACTAGAACAGAACTGGAACAGAACTAGAACAGAACTAGAACAGAACTAGAACAGAACTAGAACAGAACTAGAACAGAACTAGAACAGAACTAGAACAGAACTAGAACAGAACTAGAACAGAACTTGAACAGAACTAGAACAGAACTAGAACAGAACTAGAACAGAACTAGAACAGAACTAGAACAGAACTAGAACAGAACTAGAACAGAACTAGAACAGAACTAGAACAGAACTAGAACAGAACTAGAACAGAACTAGAACAGAACTAGAACAGAACTAGAACAGAACTAGAACAGAACTAGAACAGAACTAGAACAGAACTAGAACAGAACTAGAACAGAACTAGAACAGAACTAGAACAGAACTAGAACAGAACTAGAACAGAACTAGAACAGAACTAGAACAGAACTAGAACAGAACTAGAACAGAACTAGAACAGAACTAGAACAGAACTAGAACAGAACTAGAACAGAACTAGAAACAGAACTAGAACAGAACTAGAACAGACTAGAACAGAACTAGAACAGAACTAGAACAGAACTAGAACAGAACTAGAACAGAACTAGAACAGAACTAGAACAGAACTAGATCAGAATTAAACAGAACTAGAATAGAACTGGAACAGAACTAGAACAGAACTGAACAGAACTAGAACAGAATTAGAACAGAACTAGAACAGAACTAGAACAGAACTAGAACAGAACTAGAACAGAACTAGAACAGAACTAGAACAGAACTAGAACAGAACTAGAACAGAACAGAACTAGAACAGAACTAGAACAGAACCAGAACAGAACTAGAACAGAACTAGAACAGAACTAGAACAGAACTAGAACAGAACTAGAACAGAACTAGAACAGAACTAGAACAGAACTAGAACAGAACTAGAACAGAACTAGAACAGAACTAGAACAGAACTAGAACAGAACTAGAACAGAACTAGAACAGAACTAGAACAGAACTAGAACAGAACTAGAACAGAACTAGAACAGAACTAGAACAGAACTAGAACAGAACTAGAACAGAACTAGAACAGAACTAGAACAGAACTAGAACAGAACTAGAACAGAACTAGAACAGAACTAGAACAGAACTAGAACTGAACTAAAACAGAACTAGAACTGAACTAAAACTGAACTAAAACTGAAATAGAAATGAAATAGAACTGAACTAGAGCTGAACTAGAACTGATTTAGAACTGAACTAGAACTGAACTAAAACAGAACTAGAACTGAACTAAAACTGAACTAAAACTGAAATAGAAATGAAATAGAACTGAACTAGAGCTGAACTAGAACTGATTTAGAACTGAACTAGAACTGAACTAGAACTGAACTAGAACTGAACTAGAACTGAACTAGAACTGAACTAGAACTAGAACTGAAATAGAACTGAACTAGAAATGAAATAGAACTGAACTAGAGCTGAACTAGAACTGATTTAGAACTGAACTAGAACTGAACTAGAACTGAACTAGAACTGAACTAGAACTGAACTAGAACTGAACTAGAACTGAACTAGAACGGAACTAGAACAGAACTAGAACAGAACTAGAACAGAACTAGAACAGAACTAGAACAGAACTAGAACAGAACTAGAACAGAACTAGAACAGAACTAGAACATAATAGAACATAACTAGAACATAACTAGAACAGAACTAGAACAGAACTAGAACAGAACTAGAACATAATAGAACATAACTAGAACATAAATAGAACATAACTAGAACATAACTAGAACATAACTAGAACATAACTAGAACATAACTAGAACATAACTAGAACAGAACAGAACTAGAACAGAACAGAACAGAACTAGAACAGAACTAGAACAGAACTAGAACAGAACTAGAAAGAACTAGAACAGAACTAGAACAGAACTAGAACAGAACTAGAACAGAACTAGAACAGAACTAGAACAGAACTAGAACAGAACTAGAACAGAACTAGAACAGAACTAGAACAGAACTAGAACAGAACTAGAACAGAACTAAAATATAACTAAAACAGAACTAAAACAGAACTAGAACAGAACTAGAACTAGAGCAGAACTAGAACTAGAGCAGAACTAGAACAGAACTAGAACAGAATTAGAACAGAACTAGAACAGAACTAGAACGGAACTAGAACATAACTAGAACGGAACTAGAACGGAACTTGAACAGAACTAGAACAGAACTAGAACAGAACTAGAACAGAACTAGAACAGAACTAGAACAGAACTAGAACAGAACTAGAACAGAACTAGAACATAATAGAACATAACTAGAACATAACTAGAACATAACTAGAACATAACTAGAACATAACTAGAACATAACTAGAACAGAACAGAACTAGAACAGAACTAGAACAGAACTAGAACTGAACTAGAACTGAACTAGAACTGAACTGAACTAGAACTGAACTAGAACTGAACTAGAACTGAACTAGAACTGAACTAGAACTGAACTAGAACTGAACTAGAACTGAACTAGAACTAAACTAGAATTGAACAAGAACTGAATTTCTTCATTAGTTTGTTGCGATTTACTCTTTACTTGTAACTTTTGTAGAAGTTTCGAAAAATTTAAATCTTTTCCATTTAACTATTTCGGAACTGAATCTTAATTTTATTTTTTTTCCTTTCTTGGTCATTCTTACCATCTCTATTGTCTATTTATGTAATGCCCCTTGAAAATACTTTCACTTTTAGTTCGTTTTTTTTTTTTGTGAAACCAAATACCTGTAACATATTTCAAAATAATCTTTATTGTTATTTTATCTTGAAATTCTGAAAAAGACAAACCTTTTTTATAATGAAAAGTGATCTTTTTCAAACATTAATTTATAATTTTTATGTAGCATTTATTAGTTTATATATAGAGTGTTGGGTCTATGAAAATGACATTATAAAGTATTATTTTCACGCGCTTAAAAAGCTAATTCTTACAAATTATAAGGAAACATCAGTTGGAATACAATTGAAACCACAAGCGATCATAACAAAGAGTAGGAAAATCATTAAGGGCAGGGCTACATTGTAGCAAAAACTGACTATACCTCTCTCTCGCTCTCGGGTGATCTTCTTTTTCAAAGTAAATCTAATGACAATACAGTACGAAAAATATCTAAAAATCATTCCTAGGCGGGCAATATTTGTCACAAAAAGAATTTCTCTGAAATCCTCTGATTAAAATTGTCGCGACACTATCGCAAAAAGGATCGTCTGCCGTTTGTGGTCAGCGATCTTCTGAATTATATTTAAGCTGAAAAATAGCACCCATTAACACTCTCTCAAGCATGCGAGTGCAACAAATTAAGAAGAATAAGAAAAGGCAAAAACTGACTCTCTGTTAATTGTGCATTTTTTATGAACAGTTTGCAACAACTATATATTATCATCTCAATGCCTTTTTGTGGTTTTTACAATATTGTTGTAGTTGCTGCTATTGTTATTCCTTAAACAATAAGAGAACAAAACATCACATTAAAGTTGCCAACATATAATAAGTGTAAATAAAGAAAAAAGGAAGGTTGGCAATTCTTTTTTATTTTCTTTCTTTTTTGTAACTTTGTTCATGTAACAATAACAAACTAATTCTTACAAATATTGTT